CCCCCCCCCCCCGCCCCCCAAACTTCCCACGAGACTCAGAACATGTCCCTACCCTCAACCTGCAGGTCCCAAACCGGCAAACCTTCCCTGGAAGAACCAGCAGGAGTCATGTAGGGGCCTAAATGATTGCCTGTAGTATTTTAGGGATTTCCTTTTTACAAGTACAGTATAATATACCGCAAAAACACTATATACTATTTATTAAGGGCCCTATATTAGCAGAAGAAGCAGCAGTAGCAGTAGCATCAGCAGTGGCAGAAGTCGTCGTAGTAAGGACAACAACAACAACAAGAATAAACACACTAAGTGTAATTGTCGTACACTTCACCGTCGTCGTCGCCGTCGAAGTCGCAGCCCTACCTCGAAGCCTCGAAGGGGCTCATCTTCTCCGCCCTCTTCTACAAGTCCGTCGCTGCCATGTTGGAAGCGCCTTCCAAGGAGGCCCCGTGCCATTTGAAGCTGCAGTCTGCGTGACAGGGTCCAAGGCTTTTCGACAAGTTCGATATTGCCGTCGGTGCGAGGATGTTGTTGACATGGCTGCTGATGTTGCCATATCGTAAGCGCAGTTTAATGGCACTGAAACGCCTTCAACCCTGAACCCTCAGCTCTACCCTGCAATGCGGCCTTGTCCTTGCTTAGTAGGAGGCAAAAATGCTCTGGCCGGGCTTAGATGGATCACCTTGGCTGAACTACACATGGGGGCCCTCCATCAAAGGGACTCTTCGGACCAGTGCTACCTTTACGCTTTCCTCAGCCCACAGGACCTATGCTTCTGTGCTTGACTCGTGGGTCCTTGAAGTCCTGAACCCTAGTTTGGGTAGTGAATAGAGGCTACCCATGGAGAAAAAGATCTATGCCTTTGTGCCGGGCAGGAGAAGAAGCCTATCCTCGCGAATGCCAAGGTCTTGGCCGTGCACACACAAACAAGAGCCGTTAGAGGACCCTCAACCCTTGGATTACCCCTGCCGGGTTACCTGATGATGTGGTGCGGGCCGGGAGCTTAGTAGCGGCGGGCCCAACAGTCAGGAATTCGAGGCAAAGCGACTTGTCAAAGGGTTCCTCAACATAACTAGACTGGAACATACCCCGAAACCTTGTTCTAACTCTTAAGTATTATTAATGCCCCTACCTGAGGCTCTAATTCTTAAGTATTAATCCCCCCTACGTGAGGCAAGTGTTTTCTTTGGGTTTTTTCGGATCTCGACGACCGTGTACATGGGCATGTAACAGTGCGGTGTCACTTTCACGTCAAGAAGTTTACTGCGTGGCACTGTGCATATACGGAATGTACCTGAAGCTAACTGCCGGCCCTAGACGCCAAACCCCGAACCCTAAAACCTCGTAGCAGGCAAAAGTACCCTCAACCCTAAACTTCCTAACCCCTAAACCCTAAGTAGACTGCGCTTTCCCTTTTGTGCCAGGCCGAAGATGCAATCGAGACTTCAAAGGACAAAGACGATGCCGGTAAGGTCGTTTGAGATTCCGTTACTTTCTGTATGCTGGAGGCATCGGAAGATCAACCATACCGGCCCCAGTCAAATTTTGACGTTTTCACAAGGATGTTCGACTTATGGAAACAGTTGCTGCAGTCAAAGACTGTCCAGCGCCTTCATGACCAGTCCGAGAGAGATCTGGCCCAGAAAATCGAACTTGTGTCGGGTTTTGGGTCCATTTACCAGATGCCTATACCCTATAATACTATAAACCTTGAGCCTGTTTCAGTTGCCTCAGGGTTTCTAATTGCTCAGGCCGCTATGACTATACTACACCCTCATAATAACGCTTATAGGAACCTTTCAAACCCCGAAAACCTGAACCCTGAACCGTTGAAGGACTCCTACTCTAGCTCTCGAGGCCCCTGTGCCATGATTGATAAAGAGGATATCCGAGGAGCTACGTAAGCCGAGATTGACTTGAGATTATGCCGACACCCTGAGCTCGAAAAAAGGCCACCCAACAATGATCCCGAAGAAACATGAAAAAGAGTTGAAGGTTCCGGGACCGCTGCCAGAGATCCCTTGCGGATAAAATCGCCCGCCACCACAATTTTTGGAGGGGGGTTCAGCAGCATGGGTTGGAGCGTCGTGTGATATATGGCCAGGCTTCTTGATGAACCCCTGCACCGCAAAGAATGTCCGGAAAACACGAAGGCCTCGTTTAACTATTGCACTACAGAAAGGCCTAAACCCCAAACCCTAAACCTTTCTACTGTCAACATGTGCCATACGTGAAGATTTGGCTCGGTGGGTAAGCTTTGGCCAAAAACCTGCGGCGGGACTCGTACCGAGGCATTGCAGAGGCGACGGGCATCCCCGCCAATCGCCAGGAGTGTGTTTGCGGCAGTTTCGGTGGTTTCGGACTTAGGCTTTTTAGGGTGTTGGGGTGTTGGGGTTCAGTTCATGGGTGTAAGGGTCGAAGTAGGTTTTAGGCTTAGGGCTGAATTAGGATGGCTCAAGTTTGGGGTTTGAGTTCGGGAGAGAGGCTGTGATCGACTTTCAACTGCATTGCATGTGTAGTTAAGGGTTTAGGGCTGCAAGCTATACGTGAGGATGTTGAAGTGGCTGCACTAGCCTGTAATCCTACTTAGATCTACCCATGAATGTGCAAGTGAGATCACGGGCTTTGGCTTCAGGGTGCCGTGATTTCTTGGTTGTCTAATCTGAAGTTTGACAGCGAGAAGGCAGCGATATCAGTTGACAGGAGCGCTCACAGAACCCGGCCCAGAAAAGAGCCCGTGCCGTCGACAAGCCGCAAGATGCAAAGTCCGAAACCTTGATCAAGCTCCCACCCTGGACTCCAAAACGCTCCAGCTAAACCCTGCAAGTGCTGGACCCCGACTGTGGATATAAATCCTGCATTTCCTTAAGGACCCTAAACTATGGGAATAATGGTATATGCCTTATTAAGAGATAATGCAGGATTTATATCCTCTACCGTAGTTCCTCCCTTATTAAGAGATCATGCAGGATTTACATCACCTACCGTAGTTCCCAGATTTTTATGGCCAAGCCTTTAGTCGTGAAGAGACGGACCGTCCTCCAGAGGAGCTGAAGCTTGCCACGGCCTTGGGTCAAGCTGAATGAGGGTAGTTTTCTAAATTAGGGTCCCTTTTGGGGTCCTTTTTTATAAGGGTGCCGTACTATAATGGGGACCCTAAAAAGGGACCCTAATTTAGAGAACTACCCATGAGGTTTTGGTGTTGGGTTTAAGAGTCTACACTTGTCATTATGACCAAGTGGGGACGCTTGAGAAGATGCAAGGCTGATAATTCTCAGTCAGGCTAGAAGTACTTGAGCTGGGGCCACAACAGCAATGTCACGTACTCATGTTGGCCAATCTTTGTCAATTCTTACGTGCACATGTTAGTTTGGTTAGGATTTTGAGTTGTCGAGAAGCACATCGAGCTTAATGCAGTTCGAATAAATAGCAATAGGATCCCGACATAGACCTATACAACTATGATTTACACCCGAATCGCCCAACCCTCAACCCTACCCTTTGTACACAATTATGGCAAGGCCCAAAAAACTATAAACCGTTTCGTGTCGCCCTCCAGGGTTCTTCTGCGAGCTCACTTGCAGGCCTCTGCAGAACTGCTAGGGGAGGAAGCTGAGCTGAGGAGTTCGTACAAGGTGCGGGGGGTGTTTAGGGCTTAGGTTGGAACGTGACGTTGCAAGCCAGTTGCAAAAAGGGTTTCAACCTATAACATTGGACCAAGCTCTTTCGGTAGAGGCCGTTGTTTCAGGGTTGCGGTTTTTGGCTTTTGACCGATAGCTTAATCAATGACACAAGCCCGAAGATAGGAGCTTGCCAGGTGTGTTGGGTATTGTGGCTTACCCGACAACGATAGTCTTTGTGCCTGCGCTTCAGGCCTTATGACATACTTCCGACTTCGGTGTTCTTCTCATTCAGGGTTTTCGGGCTGGAGAAAGTGACGGCCAACGAGAAAGAAGGTGGATGACTTTGTCCCATGGCCCATGGTAAGTCCACCTTAGATTAGGCCGGATCAACCGCAAAAAATGAACCAAATCGTACGTCGATAGGAGGAAAGACACCTTGTTCAACAATAAGCAAAGCTGGCAAGCGAGTGAAGGCAGTTCCTGCGCAGTTGGATTCTTTTCCCGGTTGTCGTTCGCATGTTGGTTCGTGCCTTCGCTTTGTCACTGTTTATAGGCAGAACTGTGAAGTAAAACGCACCGTTGGACAGTCTCAAGATAAGTTCAATACATGGAGTCTTCTGCATGTTGCAGGCGAGAGGATGGATCAGGTGTGATAGTTGCCCTTAAGATACGGAAGGATTACCCTGCAGCTCTAGACTTGGCAGCCCACTCATTTTATTGCCAACATACCAGCACTCAGGATACGGTACTCGATAGGCCAAGAGCTACAAAGCAATTGGCATTGCAAGTCTCTTGATATCCATCGCCACAGCTGCAAGACCAGCTCGGAAGCTTGTACATGGCCACAATACGGGTACTATCGATGTCCCCAGTGCGTAGCATCAGTATGTTTCTTGTGCAAAGTGAACTCCGAAGAGTCGAAACAGGGGCTCCTGTAACGAGTTCTGTCGAGCATTTGTTGGGGAATGAGGCTCATGCTGTTCCAACATGCTAGACTTTTGCGTGTACCTATCAGCACGTATGCGCCCGTAAACCCTGACTGAAGCCGGCAACCCCTCGCAACTGAACCGAATCCCTCACCCGCCAAGACTAAACCATCTAAAGCGCGCTGTGTTCGACTTCAGGGGACCAACGTCCAGACGTGGGGCCCCTGGACACGAGCGGCACCCATCGGGTTCCGATTGCCTGGCTTCTATGGGCTCACGGGGACAATGGCGTAGAGTCCAGGGTTCAGGGGGGTAGGGTCTCCCTAAACCCTAAACAGTTTCGCTGCAAACCGAAACCCTAAACCCTAAAGCCCTAAACCATCAAAGGCAGTCTAAGGTTCAGGGTTGTAAGGTGCAGACCTGAGAGTTTCCAACCCCATGAAAACATCTCGAACCTTTTGTCTGTAAAGTTTCTTCGCAGCGAACTTTTGTAATAGTGGCGCAGGGCTTAGAGCTTGCGTCTTTTTTTTGATGGGGGGGCGACAATAACGAACAAGTGCGATTTCTGGTGCTGCATGGACCGGAGACGCATCAAACCCTGGATCCGAAGTCAGAGGACCCCAATACGCACGCTTATACGTTGTGATTGATTGTGTGTATACGAAGATGTCAGTCATGGAAACCCGGATTCCTGAAAGGACATCAACATGGACACCACAACACGCCTCTACCATCCCAGTCCAAATAGCAACCTCTCCGAGTCAAAGCAAAGGTTTAGCGGTTAGGGTTTTAGGGTTTAGGGTTTAGGGTGGTTTACGGTTTATGGTTCCAAATCCGAAACCCTCAAGCCAAAATCCTAAACGTCGATGTCATCGAAGCATACATACCATGCACACCACTCCCCAAACGCCAAACCCTAACACGAAGCCTGAATGCCCGAAATGCTCAAAGCCCTCATGCTGGGTAGTAGGTTTGTAGATCAGATCCTTCCTCCAGGGCACATGGGCAGTAGCAAATCACTGGCTTACTTTTTAATCTCCAGTTCTGAATTCCACTGAGAGCACACCCGCAATCCGAAATGGTTGCCAATCCGTTCCGAGGATTTGGTTAGAAGATTTGAGGACAGCAGAGGCAGCACTGGGTGGCCTTGCAGTTTGGGGATTACGGAACCCTAACCCCTAAACCCTAAACCCTAATTCCCTGTGAAGGAGGTCATGGGTCGTGGAGGGCTCCTTGGTAACAGGGTTTAGGGTTTAGGGTTTACGGGTTAGGGGTGGGTTCTTAGCAACAGGGCCTAGGAGCCTCCAGCAGGAGCAGTAGAAAACGCACGAGCAGACGCATTAGCAGTAGCCGTGGTGGTAGCAGCAGCGGTGGCGGTGGTGGTGGTGGCATAGTGGTAGTAGTAGCACTGAGCACAGTAGCAGAAGAAGTAGAATCAGAAGTCGAAAAAGAAGTCGAAGAAAAACAAGAAATAGAGTAGAGTTGAGTAGAGTAGGAGTATTGGTGGTGGTAGTGGTCGTAGTAGTGGTGGTAGTAGCAGTAATCGTCGTCGCAGGAGTAGTGGTGTAGTACGGGTCGTGTGGCGGTGGCAGTGGCAGCGGTCATCGTGTAGCAGTATCTGGTGCGGGTAGCCGCATTAATCGGCATGTTCTTAAGACAAACTTTCTTGAGACCATGACGTTTGTAAGTAAGTAGAAAGGAAGCCGAAGAGTAAGACTGACTGACTAGAGCTAAGGAAAGCGATATGAAGATCTTGTAGGCCAGCCATCAACATGGCCGGTGCTGTGGCGATGCCACTAGTTGCTGATACTCACCGGCTGTGAAATGCAATTGTCCAGCTGGTCCTGTTTTTGGTTTGCTGACGCTTCGTGCCTTCTAGATCTATAATTAAGGTTGAGGGCTTCCGCACCAAGCCCCATACAACAGCACTTC